CTCCTCGGTGATCTGCTAGCCTCACCAGGCGCGTTCCACTACTCGCAAAGTGCCTACTCGCAAACGTCCGAAACAACACATGTCCGCTTTGACGTCATTTATCGTAGATCCCCCGCGGCGGATCCAGGCCATTTGCGAGTAGTCAGTTTGCGAGTAGTGGAACGCCCTCGTCTGTAGCCACTGCCCCCCCGTGTTGGCACGGGCGCGCAGCTCACCAGCTCCCAGCTGCCCGGAGCACCGATCGAGAGCGGACCCGTGCCCCCCCCCCCCCCCCGAGACCCTGGCTCTGGGTGGAAAGGTCTGGTGAGGAGGGGGGATGCGTTGGGGAGGAGGAGGCGGAGGCGGAGGAGGAGGAGGAGGCGGAGGAGGGGGAGGAGGAGGAGGCGGAGGGGGAGGAGGAGGAGGAGAAGGGGGAAGGAGGAAAGGAAGGAGGAGAAGGAGGAGGAGGACGAGGAGGAGGAGGAGGAGGAGGAGGAAGAGGAGGAGGGGGAGGGGGAAGGAGGAGGAGGCCTCGCGCCGAATTTCTTGTCGCCGCATCCTGGCTTGCGCCCCTCGCAGGCCTCTACGGGTCGACGGCAGAGGAGCCCGAGGAGGCGGGTCGGCCCGATGCCTCTTGACTGGCAGCCTCCTCTTGCATGCAGAGCACACGTGATCCGTCGCCTTGTGTGTTCGAGAGATTATATTCCCGTCTCCTTTCCCCCCTCACTCCCTCCCTCCCTCCCCTTCCTCCTCCTTCCTTCAGGAGGGGAAAAACACACAGACACAATTAAGCGTCGACTCCCAGGAACATATGGGAACATATGGGAAGTGGGGGGGGAAGACGGAAGCCCAGAAAATATGAGAAAATATGGGACATCCTGTTATGCGTGTCTATTTATTTGTGTGTCCCATGGCCCATTTATTGCTTCCTTCCTTCCTTCCTTCCTTCCTTTTCCTCCTCCGTCTTCTTTAGACCCAAGTCGCTACGATCCACGTCTGCGGGCAACATCATGCATCCCAGGCAGGTCAGCAGTTCACTTTGCTGGGCGGGAGCCTTGGCCTTCAAAACTCCAGGAAGGACGCCGTTGGACATCCGACGAAGAGCCTTGACCTTCTGGGTCGCTGGAGCCCTGCGCGGTTCCGAGAAATCCTTTTTCTGCCTCGCACCGTGAGGCAGAGTAAGGGTAGGGGAAAGAGGCAGGGGAGACAGAGGGAACACTTTAGACCCTCGCTTTGGTTACCACATTCTCCTTTGTCCTCTATGCGTGGCGGCCTGCTTGGCACGGAATGGAACAGCGGATGTCCCCAAAGGCCATGGCATATCATTCAATTGCGATTCAAGGAGGAGGGGGACGAGTGGCGACAGCCAGGACATGAAGGAGGGCGGAGGAGAAGCTGGAGGAGTAAGACATCAGTATGGTATGCTGAGCATGTGGGCAATGTGGGAGGGAAGAGTGGTCTCCTCCTCTCTTGGGAAGGACGGAAAAGGGGGATGACGGAGTGGGGGGAGGAGCAGACGCAGGAGCTGTAGGGGAGGGAGGATGCGGGCGGAGGAGGAGGATAGACAAACGAGGGGGGATGGACGAGGAAGGAGAGATTGGGGGACGGGAAGAGAGAGGAGGAATGGAGAGGAGAAGGCAGGAGGGGGCGGGCAAATGTGTTATGTGCTGGGCGATACAAAATGGTGATGGCGATCATGGATGATGACGATATATTTTGATGATGGTGATGTCGTTGCTGGTGATGCAGGAGATGATGATGCGTATGATGATGATGATGATGATGATGATGATGATGATGATGATGATGATGATGATGATGCTGATGATGATGCTGATGATGATGATGACGATGACGATGACGATGACGATGACGATGATGATGATGATGATGATGATGATGATGATGATGATGACGATGACGATGACGATGACGATGACGATGACGATGGTGGTGGTGATGATGATGATGATGATGATGGTGATGAAGAGGGTGATGCTACTGATGATGATGGTGATGACGCGGATGGTGGTGGTGGTGGTGATGATAATGATGACGATGACGGTGATGATGATGAGGATGACGACGAAGACGGCGACGAGGCTGAGGAGGAGGATGAGGATGATGTTGATGATTGAAAGAGCGCGTTCTGTGGTCGCTTGGAGGGGGGGGGGTTGGAACCGGACCCCCCCCCCCCTGGTTGGAGGGGGGTCGATCCCCCCCCCCCCTCCCCTCCCATGACGGAGGGGGGGGGTCCTCCCTTTTCGAGACGTGGGGGGGTTCAACCCGCCCCCCCCTGCTTCCCCTTTCCTCGGGCCGGCGCTTGCGTCGGCGGCGGCTGGCGACGGCGGCGGGCACGACGATTTCTATTTCTGGGCCGGCGGCGGGCGGCGGTGGCGGGGAACGTCGACGAAGATGACGGTGGTGGTGGTGGTGGTGGGTTGTGGTGGTGGTGGCGGTAGCGGTGGTGGTGGTTGTGGTGGTTGTGGTGGTGGTGGTGTGGTGGCTTCTGGTGGTGGTGGTTGTGGCGGTTGGTGGTGGTGGTGGTGGTTTGGTGGTGGTGTGGTGGTGGTTGTGGTGGTGGTGGTCGTGGTGGGTTGTGGTGGTGGTGGTGGTTGTGGTGGTTTGGTGGTGGTGTGATGGTGGTTTGTGGTAGTGGTGGTTGTGGTGGTGGGTTGAGGTTGTGGCGGTGGTTTGTGGAGGTGGTGCTGGTGGCGGTGGTGGCGGTGGTGGTGTTGGTGGTGGTGTGGTGGTTTGTGGTGGTGGTGGTTTGTGCTGCTGGTAGTGGTGGTGGTCGTGGCGGTGGTGGTGGTGGTGGTGTGGTAGATTGTGGTGGTGGTGGTGGTGGTAGTGGTGGTGGGTTTTTGTGGTGGTGGTGGTGGTGATGGTGAGTTGTGGTGGTGGTTGTGGTGCTGGTGGTGGCTGTGGTGGTGGTGGTGTTGGCTGTGTGGTGCTGGTGGTGGTGGTGGTGGTGGTGGTGGTGGGTTGAGGCGGTGGTGGTGGTGGTAGTGGCGGTGGTGGTAGAGGTGGTAATCGTCGCTGCGTCCCCGCCGTCGCCGGCGCCAGCGCCGGCGCAGGCGCGAGGGGGGGGGGACCCATCCCCCCTGGCGCCGGGGGGGGAGGGTTGAACCCCCCTCCCTTTGAGCTGCCTCTGGTCATCGTCTCTGTGTTCCCGCCGTGGGCACTGCTGGCGGCCGCCAGCGCCGGCGCCGGCGCCAGGGGGGGCGGGGGGGTTTGAATTGAACCCCCCCCCTTGGAGGGCGACCAGCTGTGACTGTGGCCCGTTGGGTATTAATGTGGCCCGTTGGGTGTTAGTGTGGCCCGTCGCGCGGCGGGATGGGAGTTACTGTGGCCCGCGCAGGCCGCTCCATGACAAGTAATATGTAAGGGTATCTCATGTTAGATCTGGAGAGATTAGCAACCCTTAAGGGAATGCGCTCCCGCGCAGGCAGAAGTGGCCACAGTAACTCCCATCTGGAACCAACGTGGTAGTAGTGCTGTGTTAGTGGTGTGGTGGTCGCTGTGCTGTGTTAGTGGTGTGGTGTTGGTAATGTTGTGTTAGTGGTGTGGTGTTGGTAGTGGCGGGTTGTGCTGTATGCTGTGTTAGCGGTGTTGTGTTGTTAGTGGTGTGCTGCGTTAGTGGTGTGGTGATGGTAGTGTTGTGTTAGTGGTGTGGTGTTGGTAGTGTTGTTGAGTTGTTAGTAGGCAGTAGTGTTGTGGTAGTGGCAGTGGTGCTGTGGTAGTGGTGTTGTGGTAGCGGGGTTGTGGTGTTGTGGTTGTGGTATTGTGGTAGCGGTGTTGTGGTGTTCTGGTAACGGTGTTGTGGTGTTGTGGTACTGGTATTGTGGTAGTGGTGCTGTAGTGTGGTAGTACTATGGTGCTGTAGTGTTGGTGCTAGGAAGTATCATTCATAGGGAGTGCTAGTCCTACGGAGTACTAGCCGCAGGGAGTGCTAGCCCCAGGGAGTACCAGTCCTAGGAATTACTACCCCTAGGGCGTATTCGTCCAAGGGAGTACTCGTCCTAGGAGTACTCGCACTACGGAGTACCAGCTCTGGGGAATACTAGTCCTAGAAGTGCTAGTCCGAGGGAGTGCTAGGAAGTGCTGGCGCTAGGGAGTGCTAGCCCTAGGAAGTACTGGCGCTAGGGAGTGCTAGCCCTAGGGCGCTAGGGACGACGAGAAGAAGAAGTAGTAGTAGTAGTAGTAGTAGTAGTAGTCGTAGTCGTAGTCGTAGTCGTAGTAGTAGTAGTAGAGTAGTAGTAGTAGTAGTAGTAGTAGTAGTAGTAGTAGTAGTAGTAGTAGTAGTAGTAGTAGTAGTAGTGTAGTAAGTAGTAGTAGTAGTAGTAGTAGTAGTAGTAGTAGTAGTAGTAGTAGTAGTAGTAGTAGTAGTAGTAGTAGTAGTAGTAGTAGTGGCAGTAGTAGTGGCAGTAGCAGTAGCAGTAGCAGTAGCAGTAGCATTAGCAGTAGCAGTAGTAGTAGTAGTAGTAGTAGTAGTAGTAGTAGTAGTAGTAGTAGTAGTAGTAGTAGTAGTAGTAGTAGTAGTAGTAGTAGTAGTAGTAGTAGTAGTAGTAGTAGTAGTAGTAGTAGTAGTAGTAGTAGTAGTAGTATTAGGAGTAGTAGTAGTAGTAGTAGTAGTAGTAGTAGTAGTAGTAGTAGTAGTAGTAGTAGTAGTAGTAGTAGTAGTAGTAGTAGAGTAGTCGTAGTAGTAGTAGTAGTAGTAGTAGTAGTAGTAGTAGTAGTAGTAGTAGTAGTAGTAGTGGTAGTAGTAGTAGTAGTAGTAGTAGTAGTAGTAGTCGTAGCAGTAAGTAGTAGTAGTAGTAGTAGTAGTAGTAGTAGTAGTAGTAGTAGTAGTAGTAGTAGTAGTAGTAGTAGTAGTAGTAGTAGTAGTAGTAGTAATAGTGGTAGCAGTAGTAGTAGTAGCAGCAGCAGTAGTAGTAGTAGTAGTAGTAGTAGTATAGTACAGTAGTATTCACGAGTAGCAAGTAAGTAGTAATTAGTATAGTATAGTAGTAGTAGTAGTCGTACTAGTAGTGGTAAATGATAGTAGTAGTATTGAATATAATAAGTATTATAATCGTAGTAGTAGTAGTAGTCGTAGTAGTAGTAGTAAACATAGTTGGTTAAGGTCGTAGTAGATAGTTCGTCGTCTCGTCGTCGTCGTCGTCGTCGTCGTTCGGTCGTCGTCCGTCGTAGTAATGTTAGTATTAGTCGTATTAGTAGTAGTAAGTAGTAATAGTCTTAGTAGTAGTATTAGTCGAGCAGTAGTAAGTAGTAGTCATAGTGTAGTAGTAGTAGTAGTAAGTTAGTTACTAGTGTATAAGTAAGTAGTAGTAGTAGTAGTAGTAGTAGTAGTAGTAGTAGTAGTCAGTAGTAGTAGTAGTCAGTAGTAGTAGTAGTCAGTAGTAGTAGTAGTAGTAGTAGTAGTAGTAGTAGTAGTAGTAGTAGTAGTAGTAGTAGTAGTAGTAGTAGTAGTAGTAGTAGTAGTAGTAGTAGTAGTAGTAGTAGTAGTAGTAGTAGTAGTAGTAGTAGTAAGTAGTAAGTAGTAAGTAGTAAGTAGTAAGTAGTAGTAGTAGTAGTAGTAGTAGTAGTAGTAGTAGTAGTAGTAGTAGTAGTAGTAGTAGTAGTAGTAGTAGTAGTAGTAGTATTCGTAGTCGTAGTCGTAGTCGTAGTCGTAGTAGTAGTAGTAGTAGTAGTAGTAGTAGTAGTAGTAGTAGTAGTAGTAGTAGTAAGTAGTAGTAAGTAGTAGTAAGTAGTAGTAAGTAGTAGTAAGTAGTAGTAAGTAGTAGTAGTAGTAGTAGTAGTAGTAGTAGTAGTAGTAGTAGTAGTAGTATTAGTTGTAGTAGTAGTAGTAGTAGTAGTAGTAGTAGTAGTAGTAGTAGTAGTAGTAGTAGTAGTAGTAGTAGTAGTAGTAGTAGTAGTAGTAGTAGTAGAAGTAAAAAGTAGTAGTAGTAGTAGTAGTAGTAGTAGTAGTCGTAGTAGTCGTAGTAGTCGTAGTAGTAGTAGTAGTAGTAGT